AAAAAAAAAAAAAAAAAAAAAAAAAAAAGGCTGAGAGGGGTCTTTATAACATTCGACCTATCAACAACAGTATGTGAGCCAGCAAGAGAAATGAACTCGCTGACGAAAAAGCAACTCCCACGGGGTTGGAACCGTGGTTCTGCAAGATGAAACCAGTACCGTGGGAGTTAAAACCAACCGGGGGTTCTGATACCGGAGAAATGCTTTATAGCATTTCGCAGCCAGAGGCTGCACTTACCTGGGTTGCAAGGTTTTCTTTCTTGTCCGGGAAGTGTCGTGGACTTTAATCGAGGTTCGGGGGGGTGTTTCGGGGCTTTTGGGGGGGGGGGGAAGGGTGTGGTCATGGCTAGGAGATGGACCGGTAGTGCGACTGGTAGTCGCAGGCTTTGGGCAATTGGTCGGTTTATCAAGTTCGTCGGGCTTGTGATGGGCGACGACCAGGTTTCCTTTTTGGGGGGCTATAGGGTGTTTTTTTCTGGGTCGTTTTTTTTTTTTTTTTTTTTAATGGCTTTGGTCGTTCGATTCGTTCATGAAACAAGTGTGAATGAATGCATGAATTTGTTTGAATGAATTTAACCGCTGCCAGACAAGTGGGTTCATTTCTTTTATTTTTCCTCTTTTTTTTCCTTCTTGTCCTGTCTTTCTTGATTGGTCGTCGTTTGTGTCGTTTTACAGCACCACTTCAAATTCTTTTTTTTTTCCCTCATTCATGATCTTTTTTCTCGGGGGTTTTATTTTTTTTTCTTTTTCTTTTTTTGGGGGGGGTGCTTGAGGTTTTCTTATTTTTTTATTTTTTTATTTTGAACCACTAGTCTCTTTCCCGCGTGGGAAAATAGGGAAAACTGGCAGTTTTCCCAAACTCCTGAATATTCGGAGGTCGGGCCCGACGACGACTGCCATTGATAAATCTGATCGGCGACCGTCATTTCGTTTCGGCCTATGAGAAGGTCAGACGCCTACCCGAGGCCCGCTATTTTCCCAAGCGGCGAGGGTACTAGTACCTTTCGCACGTGGGAAAATAAGGAAAACTGGCAGTTTTCCCAAACTCCTAAATATTCGGAGGTCGGACCCGACGACGACTGCCATTGATAAATCTGATCGGCGGCCGTCATTTCGTTTCGGCCTCTGAAAAGATCGGACGCCTACCCGAGGCCTGCTATTTTCCCAAGCGGCAAAGGTACTAGTGGTTTAATTTTAATTAATTTTAATTTCTTATTTTTTTTATTATTTTAATTTTAATTTAATTTTAAATTTTTTAATGCCTTTGGTGGTTTTCGTTCGTTAGTTCACGACATTTCAAGCATGGACATCACCACTGTCGGGCAACCGGGTTCAAAGGGATGCCGGTTCATGTCTTTTTAGTCGTCGACGAGTTGACTCTGGCCTTTTTTTGGGGGGGATCGAATTGAAAAAGCAGTATGTTCAGGTCTTTTGTAGTCGTTTTGGGGGGTCGAAAAGGGGTAGGTTCAGCTCTTTTCTTGGGGTCGAAGGTAAGCGGGTCGTTCGATTTGGTCATCGACGAATCGACTTTGGGCTTTTTTTGGGGGGGGTCAAAAGGCAAGCGGGTCGTTCGATTTGGTCGTCGACGAGTCGACTCTGTTTTTTTTTGGGGGGGGTCGAACTCGAGATCGAGAAAAGGGGTCTCATTTCCTCGGCGACTGAAGCCTGAATCGACGACTGAAGCCTGAACTTGACTTGGCTTTGGGCAATTGGTCGGTTCATCACGTTCGTCGGGCTTGTGATGGGCGGCAACCACGTTTCCTTTTCGGGTGGAGGGTTGAGTGTTTTTGGGGGGGTTGTCGGGTGTTTTAGTTTTTTCAAGTCGAGGGTTGTGGAACGAGCCCCCTACTGAATCTCACTTTTGTGCCTTCTGAGCTGAATGGTCTTCCCCCGATGCAGCCAAAATGAGGATGCGGTCGACGAACGATTCAAGGCTGGGTTGAGGTTATGAGGTGACCGGCCTTAGGCAAGGACCGGAATCGAACTTGGGTCTTTTTTTCTTTTTTTTTTTTTTATAGCTTTTTTAAGTTGAGGGTCGTGGAACGAAGCCCCTACTGAATCCCACTTTTGTGCCTTGACGTCTACTATTTTGATGTTTCTGTAGATAAGTCAAGTCAAGGGGGTAGAGTGATCACCAAATGCGTGTATAAAAGAGTTAGTATGCAATATAAAGTCAGGCATCCACAATGTGTAAGGTGTGATAAACAAGGCCCAGTGCATCTCACCTGCTTTCTGAGAGGACTTATCCCTTTGCCACTTCGGCCTCCCGGCCTGCTCTCGTTGTCCTTGGAACTCAAAACTCCGTCCCCTCTACAACCCCTCTGCCCTGGCTGCGCCCCCGCGCTACGCGCGGTTACAGTTGACCTATCAACAACTGTAGGTGAACCAGCCAGAGAAATGAACTCGCTGACCAAAGGGCGTAGCTCAGTTGGTACACCCATGAACTGTTGAAGTACAGACCCAAGTTCGAATCCAGACACAATCAGATAACCAAAATACAGTCATTCTTTTTTTTTTTTTTAGAAAAAAGCTTGTCCTTGGGAAAAAAGCCGGGAAACGGGCCCGGCGTCCCTCACAAAAGATAGTAGCAGCCCGAATTCCGGACCCGGCAACTCCGGCCGGACCCTGGTGCCGGTCGGTTCAATGATGAAATGTCAAGGCCGTAAAAGAGGGAAAAAAAGAAGAAATCTCATCCGTACCACAGAGGCGAATGCTGCGGGGGGGGTTGAGCTCCTCTACATCTGTGCACTGTTCAGGCTTTCTTGCCCTTCGAGAAGACGGAGGAGTCACTGCTGATCGCAATTGTTCCTTCACAGTAGAGTTGGGCCTACTTCAGCCCATATGCACACTTCGCACTTTTTTACGTATTTCGGGACAGAATTGCGGCCAGATGCATTTTTGTTTTCTTGTTTTTGTTTCGATCTACAAAGAGACTGGTAAAAAAAAAAAAATTCCAGCGGCCTAGCTCAGTTGGTAAGGCTCGCAAGTGGCATTCAAGAGGTCTTGGGTTCAATGCCCATTGCGCTCATGTACCTTCCTGGGCATGCTTGGCGCCCGCCACCTAGAGATAGCCCGTTGGTCCCCCCAATTGGCATTAAAAACCAGTGTCTGCTGATGTTCATAGGGGGAGGGGTAATCGGGGAGGCACACCAACTGGCCACTCAGATGATGCTCGGTCCCTCCGCCGGCTTTCCCCTGGCCGGTGTCACCATTGGGGGTTCCCTGAAGGCAATCAAGGCCACCCTGGGCTGAAAAGGCCACCCGATGTCAGATTAGACACAATTGAATTTACCTGGGCTGGTTAGTCCGATGATAATACCTCAAGGCCATCGCCTTTTGAAAAAAAAAAAAAAAAAAAAAAAAAAAAAAGACTCATCGCGAAGTGGTGTGAAAAAAATCGCAGGGTCCAAAAGTGGTGTGAAAAAAATCGCAGGCACAACGCCGCCCGCCGTCGCAATGTGCCGCGTAGTTCCGGGCCGTGGTCCCACTAGCAAAGGGGATAGGATAGAAGTCCCAAATCTGGCTATGTTTTATGCAGAGATACAGAAAAGCATTTGGATCTCGATTTCCTCCTCCTGTCCTCAAACACGTCCAGATTCAGGGTCTGATCCCACCACCACACTACGCAAGTAGTGACGAAAAAGCACTACAATAGTGTCATCGTCAGCTACGGGCCCGGCTACAGAAAGCAGATCCGACGACACCGACTTCCTCGGTGGTTTTCCTGGACCCGCGGCGACTTTCCATGGGCTGCATTTTTAGGGCGGACATTTCCGTTGTACTGCCAGACGACATGTCACACACGCATGTGGACCTCGGACATTCCTAACGGGCTGGACGGACAACTGAAAAAAAACACACACACAAAAAAAAAGTTCCCTCTTTTTCGCAGCCGTTGTGCCCAAACCGTCTACACAAAAAATGTAGTAACTTTGCTCGAGCCTTCGCGGGCGTGCTGCCACGACATTCCGACACGAAATGCGTGCAAAATATTTCGGCGAACTCCACAACCGTAGTGTAGTGGTGGGATCCCGAAACTACAGTGTAACACGCTGTGGGACCCCAAAACTACAGTGTAACTGGGCTGTAGTGTAGTGGTGGGATCAGACCCTCAGGGATTCAATCCCATGCTTTTCGCTAATGGGACCATGGCCCTGAAGACAGGAACAGGAGCGATGGTAGTGGGACTTGGGCCCCGCGAAGCTGCAGCCCCAGGTGTGAGGTCCCACAACTTGTAGACAAAAGGATTGGATTACGCGCATGAATCTGGACGTTTTCTATGCGAAGATGCGGAAACGCAGACCAATCGTGATCCTCTCCAATCCTCTTTCTTGGTGGGACCTCGTCCCCGCACCACCCTCGGAAACTCTCGACTTCTTTTTTTTGTGGGGGTGAATGGTACGCCCATATATATTAAAAATATTAAAAATAAAATAAAAGAATAAAAAATGGCACAGGGCGGCGTTCGAGTCCCCAGGGCCGTGGTCCCATTAGCAAGAGAGCATCGGATTGAGTGCCTGAATCTGGACGTGTTCGAGGACCGGAGCAGGAAATCGAGATCGAACTGCTTTTCTGTATCTCTGCATACAACATGGCCAGATTCAGGATTTCTATCCGATCCTCTTTGCTAGTGGGATCACGCCCCTGCCGTGATACTGAATTATCTGGCGTCGGTCAGTTCTGTGTGATGGTACCTCAACAAAAAAATAAAATAAACAAAAATAAAGAGAGAACAAAAGGGAAAAAAAAGAGGAAAAAAAAAAAAAAAAGAAAAAGATATTCAAGGCGACTTGCACGTTCCGGTCATTCCCATCCTGAGTCCAAACGCGTCTGGGAGTCCCACACACAATCCTATAGGTCCCACACTCCCAACTGGGTCCAGACAGCAGATGGCGTCTGTGTACTTGTCCAACCCCATCTACCGCTCACACCCATCTCAACCTGTGAGCGATTGCGAAACAGCGTGAGAGCGCGAGGTCTTTCGTGCGAGAGCCGTGCGGCGGAGGGGCAGGCTGAAAACGCAAGGAACTGAACCGTATTTGTGACAATTGTGTTCACAAGACCTTCGGTGGACGCGAGGCGGCACCAGATTCCTTCCTGTGTCATTTTTCATTTCGTTCTCCCGCCGGTTTCGTTTTCCTTTCGGCATTTCGGCGCCAGAGTGGAGGACCAGTGAGTGTGTGTGCTTTTTGTGTTCGTATATGTGTGTGTGTGTATGTGCTTTGTGTTGTTGCTCACAACCTTGCAGTGTGTTGATCGTCACACGACTTCGTGTTTTGGTCACAACGGAGGTAACGTGGGGGGGGAGAGGTCCGATCTTGAGGAGGAGGTGAAGTACTAAAAGGTCTGCCAGGATGGCTATGTCCGTGTCAGGATACAAGGTGGAGGATGAGTGCAAGCTGCGATTCCTTGAATTGCAGAGGAAGAAGGAGTTTCCGTACATCACGTACAAGATTGATGGGCGGAGAAAGACAGTGATAGTGGACAAGTTGGGGGCGGAGGGGGAGGGGTACGATGCCTTCATCGCCGCACTGCCGGAGAACGAGTGCCGCTACGCTGTGTACGACTACGACTTCGTGACGCCGGACAACTGCGAGAAGAGCCGAATCTTTTTCGTATTCTGGTCACCGGACAAGACGCCGGTGAGGTCGAGAATGGTGTACGCGCTGTCGCGGGACAAGTTCAGGAAGGAGCTGGATGGTGTCCAGGTCGAGCTCCAGGCCACGGACGTTTCCGAGCTCGATCTCGAGATCCTCATGGCGAAAGCGAGGTGAAGGGGCACTAGGTTATAGTGGCAGTGATGTTTCGGAGAGGGGTAAATGTACGATCGTATATTTATATCTAAACATTTACATAAATGAATACATATGTGTGAGAGGCATAAGAGAAATACATGTGTGTGTGTGTGTGTGAGAGAGAGAGAGAGAGAGAGAGAGAGAGAGAGAGAGAGAGAGAGAGAGAGAGAGAGAGGTATAAGAGATAAATACGTGTGTGTGTGTGTGTGAGAGAGAGAGAGAGAGAGAGAGAGAGAGAGAGAGAGAGAGAGAGAGAGAGAGAGAGAGAGAGAGAAGCAAAAACCGTCTAGAGCGATTATCTTGAGAGGGAGAGAATTAAAGAGAGAGAGAGAGAGAGAGAGAGAGAGAGAGAGGAAATAGATATATTTGCAAAGGAACTGTCTTGAATGGTAGTGACTTGTTGTGTGGTCTGAGTTGGAATCGGCGCAGTTGAGAGGAAATAGATATATATGCGGTGGTTTCTTCAGTGAAGTTTCTGTGAAGTGTCCTCTCTCCGAAGGATTTGTTTTCTCGTTTGTTTTGTGGGGATCGCATAGATCGTCTTGGTGGCTTCTTTTTGCTTTCTTTTTTTTTTTTGTCCTTTCGCCTGTCTTGCATGTTTTGTGGGTGTGATTTTTTGTTGGGTGTGGTTTTTGCTTCTTGAGGGGCGTAATTGGAGGTAATTGGCTACAAGCTGTATTAGGCACACGCTGTGACATGATGAGTCACCGTGGCGGTTAACGATGAGGACGATGATGAAGATGATGAGATGATGAAGATGATGAGGACGATGATGAAGATGATGAAGGCGGATTAAGCTGAATTGCAACAGTAGCAAATAGATAAGTCTTTAGCACAAGTAAGCAGCTTCTTCGTCTGGTTGCGGCTGTTGCTATAATAGGTAGGTCTGTCTTCAGTTTTATATCTTTTCGTTTCATCCTACGCATCGTGGAGAATCCCATACCTTGTAGTCGTGCCCCCTTTTTTTTGCTTCCTCGTTTGTTGAAATTCACTGCCGTACGGTATTACTTTGTTTATCCCCCTTGATTGTTGAACTTGGTCCTTCAGTTTTTCTTTTGGTAGTACGTTCCTATTCTTTTTGGCATCCAAATTGTGTTCCGCAGTCTGTGTTCTGTCTTTGATACAAATTCTTTCCGCGGTCGATTTTTTTTTTTTTTTTTGTAATCCGAACTCGCTACGCAGTCGAATTCAGTTCCGAATATGTATTTGTCGCATGTATCTGTTTTTTTCTTTTCTTTTYTTTTCCTTGTTTTTCTGTTAATCTATTTCCCCTTTTTTTTTTTTTTTTTTCGATTTTTGGTTCGCGTTGTGGTTTCTATCGCGCTCGATCGCATGTGTCTGCAGGCTATGCGTGCCTGGAGGTCTCGCTCCACTGCTCAAGATTCGAAATGTATCTGGATCCGGAAATGGTCTTTATGCATTCGAAATGTTGGATCCGTTTTCATGCATCTTGTCCATATCGTAGTCCAGATACATGTCGAATGTAGAGTAGTCGAGCGAGACCGTTACGTGGGCGCTCTTTCTTCGCTCGCATCGTTGGACTACGGTGTTGGAAAAGGTGCGCCGCAAAAATCCTGTGGTTCTTTCCTTTTGTCGTTTCTCTGGTCGTGAAGGACTGAGAGGACTGATCAAGAGCGAGTTTGTTTTCTGTTTTTTTTTTTAGGGAAAATGTTTTCGAAATGCCTCTACGACTTCCATTTGTTTGCGGTATGCCCCTCATGTATTTGCGGTATGCCCCTTCGACGGCCGATTTACCCTGTTGCGCCCTTCTCAACAATTGAATTTTCCAAAAAATCCCTGGCGTCGCTGTTTGGGCCTGAAATATATTAAATATGGCCCTACCTATACCCGTTCCAAATGTTAAGTGTGCCCCGGTAGCTCCCCTCCCAGGGCTATGTGAACGGGCTCAAGTGCCACCAACGGCGACAGGGGCATGCTGGAAAGTTGCATCCCTTACTGGCAGGGGCATGCATGAAACTTAACAGTAAGAGGCCCAGGGGCACAACAGGGTAAGTCGGCCGTCGCAGGGGCATACCGCGAATAAATGGAAGGCGGAGGGGGTCTTCGGAATGTTTTTGTTTTTAATTATTTTTCATACGAATTATTATGGCGATTAATTAGGCTGCCTGGCAGAAATTAAAGCACCGGTGTGTTTAGGGTTTGGTCGTTTATCATGTCCAATGGATTTTGACACCGTTTTTCCTTCGTTTTTTTGCTTGGTCATGCTTGCGTAATATGTGATGATGATACCTCTGTCTGTAACGCGGGAATGAGGATGGGAGCGGAGGTGATGGCAGGTATAGTTTTGAGCCTTTTTTTGGTATTATTTTATTATAATCTTGGTACTTATAATTTCGCGTTCGTGGACTGTCGAGGAACTAAAAATCGTATTGGCGCCGGGGTGAACATCGATGTTGTTAATTTTTCAATCTGTTTTTCCTACCTCGAAGAGTTTTGATGCATGCGGTCTCTTTTTTTACCATTATTTGCTCGATCGAGTTTTTCGTCTCGGGGAGAAAATTGATGTTTATTTGCCGTTCTGGAATTTTGAAGCTAGAGGGTGGGGGGGGGGGGGGGCTGTTGTTTTCAATCTGACACGTCCGTGGCGCTTATGGGCTGTTGATAAGTGGACACGTTTGCGCTGCTATAGGATAGTAAGGGTAGAAAGGTGGGGGGTTGGGATCCCGTCGACTGTCTTTCGTGGGAGTAGATGGTTGATGCCGTGGGCTGATAGGAGGGAGGGAGGGTTCTCTCTGAACCCAACGCACGGTCATTGTAGCGACGGTAGAGCGGGGTTTGCCTGCGATTTCGATGCAGCGTGAATACATGAAAGGGTAGAGGGAGGTAGGAAAGGGAGGGAGGGAGAGAGGTTTGGACGGTCTCTCTGAATAAAATGCAGGTG